TATTGGAAGCCTATGTTTGGATATCGGAAGTGTTCCGGTGAAATCGGGATTTTACTGGAGTACCGGGAGGTTACCGGAACCCCCCGGGAGCTATATGGGCCTTAGCGGGCTTTAGTGGAAAGGAGAAAGGGGCAGCCCAAGGTGGGCTGCGCGCCTCCCCCCTCCCCTAGTCCTATTAGGACAAGGAGAGGTGGCCGGCCCCCTGTCTCTCTTTCCCCCCTCGAGAAATCCTATTCCAACTAGGATTGGGGGGGGGGGGAATCCTACTCCCAGAGGGAGTAGGACTCCCTTGGCGCGCCCTCCTTGGCCGGCCGCCCCCTTCCCCTTGGCTCCTTTATATACGGAGGCAGGGGGCACCCTAGGACACACAAGTTGATCCTTGAGATCGTTCCTTAGCCGTGTGCGGTGGCCCCTGCCACCATATTCCACCTCGATCATATTGTAGCGGTGCTTAGGTGAAGCTCTGCGACGGTAGAACATAAAGATCGTCACCACGCCGTCGTGCTGACGGAACTCCTCCCCGACGCTTTGCTAGATCAGAGCCCGGGGATTGTCATCGAGTTGTACGTCTGCTAAGAACTCGGAGGTGCCGGAGTAACGGTGCTTGGATCGGTCGGATCGGGAAGACGTATGACTACTTCCTCTATGTTGTGTCAACGCTTCCGCAGTCGGTCTGCATGGGTACGTAGACAACACTCTCCCCTCTCGTTGTTGTGCATCATCATGATCTTGCGTGTGCGTAGGAAAATTTTGAAATTACTACGTTCCCCAACAGAGGGAGTCGCCAAGAGCAAGGTGCGGCTGCCCTCCCTCCCTTCCACTATATATAGGGGCTAGGGGGGCGCATGCCCCCTTGGAGATACCATCTAAAAGGGGGGGCGGCGGCCCCTGGGGGCAACGGCCCCCTTAGGGTTTCTAACCAGGGGGCGCATGCCCCCTCGGGAGGCAACGACCCCCTAGGGTTTCCAACCCTAGGCGCCTTGGGCCCTTGGGTGGGACGCACCATCCCGTCAGGGGCTGGTTCCCACGCCACTTCAGCCCATGGGGTCCTCCGGGATAGGTGGCCCCATCTGGTGGACCCCCGGGACCCTTCCGGTGGTCCCTGTACAATACCGGTAACCCCCGAAACCTTCCCGTTGGCCGAAACTAGACTTCCTATATATAAATCTTTACCTCCGGACCATTCCGGAACTCCTCGTGACGTCCGGGATCTCATCCGGGACTCCGAAAAACTTTAGGGTTACTGCATACTAATATCTCTACAACCCTAGCGTCACCGAACCTTAAGTGTGTAGACCCTACGGGTTCGGGAGACACGCAGACATGACCGAGACGCCTCTCGGGTCAATAACCAACATCGGGATCTGGATACCCATGTTGGCTCCCACATGCTCCTCGATGATCTCATCGGATGAACAGCGATGTCGAGGACTTAATCAATCCCGTATTCAATTCCCTTTGTCAATCGGTACGTTACTTGCCCGAGACTCGATCGTCGGTATCCCAATACCTTGTTCAATCTCGTTACCGGCAAGTCACTTTACTCGTACCTTAATGCATGATCCCGTGACCAACCCCTTGGTCACATTGAGCTCATTATGATGATGCATTACCGAGTGGGCCCAGAGATACCTCTCCGTCATACGGAGTGACAAATCCCAGTCTCGATTCGTGCCAACCCAACAGATACTTTCGGAGATACCCGTAGTGCACCTTTATAGCCACCCAGTTAAGTTGTGACGTTTGATACACCCAAAGCACTCCTACGGTATCCGGGAGTTGCACAATCTCATGGTCTAAGGAAATGATACTTGACATTAGAAAAGCTCTCACAAAACGAACTTACACGATCTTTGTGCTATGCTTAGGTTTGGGTCTTGTCCATGACATCATTCTCCTAATGATGTGATCCGGTTATCAATGACATCCCCATGTCCATAGCCAGGAAACCATGACTATCTGTTGATCAACGAGCTAGTCAACTAGAGGCTCACTAGGGACACATTGTGGTCTATGTATTCACACATGTATTACGATTTCCGGATAATACAATTATAGCATGAATAATAGACAATTATCATGAACAAGGAAATATAATAATCATTTTATTATTGCCTCTAGGGCATATTTCCAACAAAATGGTCCTGCAGGCGCAGAAAAATAATCTAGTTGTTGGACTCGCTCCGAATCTTGTTGAAAATGGAGTGGCCATATTGCAATATGCAGATGATACGGTCTTGTGCATAGATCATGATCTGGATAAAGCTGTGAACATGAAGTTGTTGTTATACATTTTTGAGCTCATGTCTGGGCTCAAAATCAATTTCCAGAAAAGTCAGATCCTGTGTGTAGGGGGGATGATGATATACTTAAAGCATATGCTGATGTTTTTGATTGTCAAATAGGGCACTTTCCCATGAAATATCTTGGGGTGCCAGTGACCTTTTCTTCTTTGCGAGTAGCTGACTGGGACTTTTTAGAGTCCAGATTTATTAAGAGATGTGACTCTGGCCTGGGGGGCAATGCCTCATCTGGAGGACACTTGACGCTGCTTAATGTGAATATTTCTAGCATTGCTTTCTACTATATGTACATGTTCCTTTTATCTAAAACTATACTTGCCAGGATTGACAAGTGTAGAAAAAAATTCTTTTGGCATGTGACCCAGAATAAGAAATGGTACTACCTTGTTAAGTGGACTAGAATTTGTAGATCCAAGAATAAAGGAGGGCTGGGTGTGAAAGATTTACATAAGCAGAACCTCAGCCTGCTTACTAAATGGTGGTGGAAGTTAGAAACTAAATCTGGCTTATGACAGGATATTGTGAAAGCTAAATATTTCAGTAGGGCTACTGTGGCTGACATTAAAATGAAGTGCAATGACTCACCATCCTGGAAAGCTATCATGAAGGTGAAATATCTTTATATGGCAGGGAGGAGAGTGATTGTGCAGTCTGGAAACATTGCTAGATTATGGGTTGACCCCATTGGGGAGAATATCCCTCTAGCTGTGCAGTTTCCTCGTCTTTTCTCTACCTGCAATTATCCTGAGTGCACTTTTGATAAATGCCTAAATGCTAATCCCTCCTCATTCTTTACAAGGAGGTTGAATAGTGAGCTTAATGACCAATGGGGTGTTGTGGGGAAAATGGCTAGAGAAGCATGTGTTTCGGATGCTACTGATGTGGTCAAATGGGGCCTGGGTGGGAGAACCTCTTTTACCACCAAATCTGTTTACTCGTTCCTGGAAAAGAATGTTGCTGGATGCGACTACAGATGGATATGGAGTGCCAGAATCTCTCTCAAAATTCAAATATTCTTGTGGCAACTTTTTTAGGATGTTGTCCTGACTAGGGATGTTATGAAACATCAAGGTTGGAAAGGGAATCCAAAATGTTCTTTTTGCGGAGGAAGAGAGACCGCACAGCACTTGTTCTTTACTTGCCCTGTTGCCAGGATAACCTGGAGGACAGTGGCATGCATGTTTGGCACTGCTTTGTGCCCTGATAATATTTGGCAGGCCTATTCGTGGTGTTTTACATTCTTACCTGGAGGGGAAAAATTCTATACAGCAGGGATCGCTGCTGTGTGCTGGGCGATCTGGTCGTGTCGCAACAGGGCTACTTTTGAATTCAAACCACTTACAAACCCGTTTGAATGTACCTTCTCTGCTTGTGCCTTAATTTGCTACTGGGCAGGAATGATGAAGCAAGATGAGGCGACTGCCATGAGGGACGGGGCGAAGATGCTGAAGGAGAATGCATCAATGATGATGAGGATTCGTGCTGCGAGCCATGAAGAGGCGGTCTGTTGATTCTGCTGGAGATGCATCCCTGTGGTTTAGCTTGATGTTTGAGTTGCTCTCCCCTGCGCGGGCCTCAAAACTTATGCTGCTCGACTGTCGCGAGCTTGTGTTTTGTGCTCTTTTGGGGCTGACTGGCCCTGGTTCCTAGTTGTAGAAGTATGGTGTCGTCGGGTTTTCGCCCCACAGTGAGTAATCTCGATGGCGAGTGTTCACAGTGGGTTTCCTGGCGATGCATTGAACTCGCTTCCCCTTTTCTCCCTCTTTGGACTGTTGTATTTCCGTTATGTTGCAGTAATAGAAAGGGGTAATGCCCGGTTCAAAAAATGAAATAAAAGAAAGAAAAGCAATGCGGTTAACCTTGATTCATAATTGCTCAGGGAAGAGAAGTATGAATTGGTGGAAATCTAAGATCAGGCAGACATCAGAGGGGCCTCGCTGGCGACCAAAGGTTGAAATTAAGTTTACATGCATGTGTTGCATGCAACGGGGCCAACGGGAGGAGGCAGCCATGGCCGTGCAAGGTCGCTCGATCATGGAGGCGGGAGATAGTGCTCGAGCGGCTCATCAGGAGGGAGTTAGATCCAGATATAAAGACAAAACTTACACAGCGAGACAAAAAGTCTAAAGTGCCTTTTTGAATGAAGGGTTAGATTTAACTGGTGCTCCTACCCCTTCCTTGGGAGTATCAGGGTACCGTAAAAAAGCTCTTGTTTAATTGGAGCAGATAAGATGCTGACCGGGATAATAATAAAATACAGACGTAGCTCGTCTATGGTCTACTGTTAAGCTTTGATAGATATTGAACGCACGTCAGAGGCAGAATGCTCTTCACCAGATTCACCTTGTTTTGGACCGTTAGAGGCAGGCTTGGTCCATGCCTTTCTTTCTCGCTGCGTCGTTGTCCCTGTCGTCATCATACTACCCGCAGGTTAGCCCCATGGGAAGGGCACAGCACACCGGTTTCAAGATATCAGCGGCCAGCCACAAGATAGATAGAAGGTAGGAAGGTCTCAAGATATTTCATGACGTTGGTTTTTTGTGAGAGACCGTCCCTTCGTCTATCTAATGTTCAAGTCAAAGTTTAAGACGGGCCATCATATATGTATGAGCACGAATGGCGTCCCCTTCTGACATTGCCGGCGAAGAACAGCGTCCCCTTGGGTCTGACCGGGCAACCTGCTGAGCTTTGGCTGCCATGGCCGGAGGAGCCAGCGGCGGCGGGGCGGTGGAGATAACGCTGGAGCACACGCCGACGTGGATCGTCGCGTCCGTGTGCTCCCTCATCGTCCTCATCTCCCTGCTCTTCGAGCGCCTGCTCCACCGCCTCGGCAAGGTCTGCATCGTCCACCATTAATTGAGCTTCATGCATCCATCACCAACATGCAAGGTAGCTAAACCGTTTGAACCACTTTTGCGTGTATATAAACAGAGGCTCACAAAAGGCCGCCGCAAGCCGCTGTACGAGGCCCTGCTCAAGCTCAAAGAAGGTACGCAATTGCTTGGTTCCCAACCACCATTGCCATGCTCTCTGCCTTCCAGTCCTAAGTCCTGACGCCGGTTGATTCGGTCGGTTGCAGAGCTGATGCTGCTGGGCTTCATCTCCCTACTGCTCACCGTGTTCCAGGGCGCCATGCAGAAGATATGCGTCCGGGAGAGCCTGATGCACCACCTCCTGTCGTGCCCGCGCGCCGGCGCCGGTGCCACCAAGGTTGCGCGGCACTTTGCCGCTACCGTGTTCACTGGTGTGGTGGGCAGCACGAGGAGGCTCCTGGCAGGTGGAGGCGCCTCCAGTGAGTACTGCCTCAATAAGGTACTACCTCTGCTTTTATTTATTACTCTGCATATTAGTTTTGTCATAAGTTTGACCGAGTTTATAGAAAACGATACAAACACTTATAACAAGTATATATGTCGTGAAAATATATTTAATTGGTGATAAATTTAATGGTATTGATTTGATATCGTAGAATTAAATATACTCCCATCGTTTTAGAATATAAGGTGTATCGATTTTCATGCAAGTCAACCATTTGAATGTTTGACCAAGAATATAGAGTAAAATGTCAACATCTGCAATGCCTAATAGATAAAATATGAAACAGCTTTTCATGATGGATGAAATGATACAAATTTGGTGTTGTGGATATTGATAGATTTTTCTAAAAACTTGATCAAACATGCACTCGTTTGACTTTTACATTTTTTTACACATTATATAAAGGAATGGAGGGAGTATGAGAGAACAAAGTTTATAAAATTTGACTTAAAGACAAGCTAATATGAAATTAAATAAAAACAAAAGGTTTTTTTTTTGTTTTGCCGGACGGAAGTCACCGACGGCATGCAGCCGGTATTTACTGGAAGTGATCAAAGCTACCTATCTCGGGAGGCTTGTCGGCTTTTGTCTGACCTTAATTTTTTCGTTGACCATGATTGGTACTTCATTAAAATAAGTTGAATTACGTGCAATGTCTAAACTTTGGCCATCCACGTATTTTTTAGGAAATAACGAGTTTAGACATTTTGAGCTGCTGTTGACAAAGCTTATCTCAAAAACTATGTTACAATATTGTGATTTTCTGAATGTTGGTAGGAAGCATATTGTCCTTTTCCTATGATTGCCCTTCATCTTTCATAAGCTAGCGCTGCTTAAAATGACCCACTATTCATATATGATTTCATATTCCTCAGGGCAAAGTTCCAATTCTTTCGATCCAAGCTATCCATCAGTTACACATATTTATCTTCGTCTTAGAAGCTACCCATGTGGTTCTCAGTGCTGTTACAGTTATTCTTGGAATCACACAGGTATTCAAAATATGAACCTTAATTTGTGTTCAAAATGGGTTATCACATTTCCTTTCTATAAAGATTTGGTTCGTTCCATCCAGACAAGAAAATAGAAACACTGGGAGGACAAGATCCAGCAAAGCAACGATAATGGTATACATACACTGCCTATTCTAGAAATTTAACTAAACATTTTTCCCATTAAGCTGTAAAGCAATGCTTATTATGTGTTCTTGGGGCAAAATTTCTAGGTCCTCAAATGATCAGACATGTGCAAGAATTTGAATTTATCAAAAATCACTTTAGAGGTCATGGAAAGTGATGTGAAATATTTGGTTGGCTGGTAGCTTCCCTTGTATCTTAAAATTCTAGCACATTTATGTTGTTAACACCAGTTCAATACAAATAATACTATTTAGAAAATGTTGGTAGCTTCCCTTGTATCTTAGAAAATGTTGTATAAAAGAAACGGGTTTAAAAGCATTTGCACCTGCAAAGTTCTATTGTTTGGACCTAATAATTTGGTTAATTTAAATAATACAACTATTTTTTCTAAGAAAAAAAGAAGTTTCATAATTAATATATGTACTATATACATTTTTTATTCACTAACATATTAGGCGTGTTTTATTTCGTGCAGTTGCTACTTGTGGTCGGAAGTAAGCTGGAGCATATTATCACGGAGCTAGCTATCGATGTTGCCCAGAAGCATACTGCAATAGATGGGGAGCTAGTTGTAGCTCTTTCAGATGATTTGTTTTGGTTCCACCGGCCTAAACTAGTCCTTCTATTGATCCATATCATCTTGTTCCAAAATGCATTTGAGATTGCATTTTTCTTCTGGCTGCTGGTAAGAACAATAAGCTAATTCCCTTCTCACCGTACCAAACATATACTGGACTTTGGAAATACTTAAGAATAACATGATGGACCACTGTTATATAAAAATATGTCATTGTAATTTACCAAGGAAAGGATTGATAAAATCAAATACTCAAACATCTAGAACATAACAACTTGTTTGGCTAGGTATTATGGCTCTCTATATTTACTTTATATATATATATGTAAAAATGTAACAGTAAACTCAAATTAGCAGTCACCAACCCTTGCAGGTAACACATGGATTTAAATCATGTATTATGGGAAAACCAGCATATGCTATTACTCGTCTGGTGATAAGGTAAGCCGTAATATTTGTCAATTGTGGCATTTTGAGCTTTCAAGGAAGCAGGAACTCATATTATGCATGTACATTCAGTGTCATCAGTCAACTCCTCTGTGGATACAGCACACTACCTCTGTATGCTCTCATATCTCAAGTAAGTTGGCTAAATTCAATTGGGTTCGCACTAACTTATTTATTCAGGAACCTTTGGTAATTTATTTTAATTTGGTGACTATCCAATTTTAAACAATGTACTAGTTGCTCAAGTAGAAGATAGCATGTTTATAAAGTGTACATTATAGTGGTAACACTTCCATTTTCTGTGGTTCACGATTGGTGTGATCACAGATTGTTGTTGATGTTCTCAAACTACTTCTCTAAGTTAGATGCTAATTTTCTATCCGTGTACCAATGCAGATGGGAAGCTCATTCAAGAAAGCCATGTTCGATGAAAGTATATCCGAAGGCCTCACCAACTGGGCTCAAAAGGCTAGGAAGCGTAATAGAATGCCGGCAGCAAGTGTTGGTGACAATTCACCCGTTGGTCAGGGAATTCAAATGACAAATACAAGAAGAGAATCAGCAATCGAGCAAGGGACTGCTAGATTGATCTAAGTGAATGCATATCAATGTACGTGCCAGTGTATAACTAATGTATAAATATATAATGCATTCACCTTTTCTAATCTTGAATGCACGAGCAAGTTAGGCAACACTTGTTCATGTTGGTCTTGATCATGGTATTAGCCGTAGACAACTGTTTAGGGAACAAATCCCCTACCAATTTCAATGCACGTTAACTTTGCAAATAAAAAAGTACATATATAGTGGGGTGATCTGACCTGTTATACCCCTTTAAAGGATGTTGGGCACCCGCCTCTTGGGGTCATCCACGCCCTCCGACACCCTCCACGTTGCTCGATCCCTCCGCAGTGCGCACCACTATACCTGCCTGGCACCCTCCACACCGTCGACTGATCGCGCCTTCAGTCGCTCACTGCGGCGACAACCCTATGAAGCGTGGGCAGCGAGCATAGCCAGGGCCCCTCGTTTGACGTGTTTTATACCTGACAGTCGTGGGTGGGGAATGAGGTGTCAGATGATGGCCCTCTTTGTGTCTACTCAGTTTTTCGACGCTGCCCTGAGGGAGCGGATGTTGCCGAGTTGAAAAGAAAGGATGACAAGGTGGCGCTGAATAGGCATCCTCATATTGTCGGCCCTTCCTCTACCTGGCCGTCTGTTGCATTTTATCGGGGCTACGAAAAGAAAGGCTTTCTGTTCTATCTATCCAGCTATTTGACGTTGTCGAGCTACCCATTTGGTGAAGTTCGTTGTGTTGGTTTTTTCAGTAGTCAGATGCTCTTGTATTCGCTGTATGGTCCTAGGGTGGGGCCTATATCCAACGGTCGGACGCTTTTCGAGCGGAGCTTCATCGCACTTGTTGTGCTCAAATGGCTCTTCGACACTGTCGGGGGCACCTGGTTCGTGGAGGCCGGTGGGTCCATGTTTTCCCCCATCATGGGTTCATTCCTACGGTGGATGCTCTACATTGACACTTTAACAATGGAGCCTGCTTGTGCTTGTTGTTCCCAACCGACCGTTGGATACTTTATTCGTAGTTTGCAAAAGTACTTCATTCGTAGTGACGTTGGCGAGCGCCTATTCCTAGCCGTTGGAATTGATGAATCCTGATGATAGAAGCGCGATGTTAACATTTAAGAACTAATGGTAGCAGCAGAACTAAAAGGAAAATCGTAAAATATTGTTCGCAGTTTTTTCAAGATTCAAATAATTTTCTAAGATTACAAAAAAAATTGTTACTATTTTTTTATTTTCCTGAACATTTTTAGAAATAGTGAAGAAAATTTTGAAATTCTCAAAGATTTTGCAAAAATATAAACAACTTTTTAATTTTTAAAAGAAATTTAAAAAAATTCTGGAAAAGGTGATTTTTTTTAAATTCCTAAACAATTTTGAAAATGGGGACATTCTTTGAAATTTTGAAGAAATTTTGGCACCGCGACATTTCTGAAATTGTTTTGAATTTTTTTTGGAGAATGTAAACTTTTTTAATTCTAAATAATTTTTGAAAACATGAATGTTTACAAAATTTCTAAGTAAGAATTTTATAAAAACATCTGAATAATATTTAAAATTTCGAAACAATGTTTGAAATACTAAACTTAAACTTGAAAATGAAAAGAGGAAAAGAAAGGAAAAAAAAATTGAGAAACCAGACTTAAACTAGTTCATGAACTAGCTAGAAGGTTTTCAAACCTGGTAAAACCTAGGCAGGATTGGTTCCCAAAACTGGTTGTGATGTACATGCTGTATAAAATGGGCCTGGCTGTGTCGGTTGTCTCTGTGTGAATCAACAACAACAACAAAAATTTGACGGGTAAAAGACTTTATTTCTCATAAAATGGTCATATCATTTACAAGAAGAAGAGAAATAAAATCTGGGGTAGAATTCACCCGTAGTCCAGACGATCGGCTATCGAATGGATATATCTAGCTAAACTATCAGCAACTTGATCCACTTCCCGGAAGCAATGTTTATATTATTATTATTTGTGAAATTCATAGCCATCTGCTTACACTCTAGAACAACAACAACTTGACGCAAAGCGCTGCAAATAGGGAGTGAAATCGGCGGCAGGGCTATGTGTTGCTCGTAGCAGTCCAACCAAGTAGTTTGGATTATTCGCTGCGCGCTGTAAGTTCGTTCAGGTCGGGTTTTCTACGTGCTTTTTCTTTTGTTTTATTTTTTTCACCGATTTTCTTCAAAAACAAAATTCATTTTCTTTGTTTTTCTTCGTTTTGCTTCGGTTTTCTTTGTTTTCTCATTTTTTTGTTTTTCTTTGTTATACTTTGGTTTTCTTTGGTGTTTTGTTTGCTTCTTATTTTTCGTTGTTTTATTTATTTTTTCTTGTTGTGCTTTATTTTTCTTTATTTTATTGTTTAGTTTTTTCTTTGGGTTATTCTTTTCTATTTTGCTTCATTGTCGGTTTTTATTTGTTTTTAACACATGTCTAATTTTTCTTACTAAACAATGTACTTTTTAGAGAACACGTGAAATATTTTTGTGATACATGTTGGACATTTTTCAAATACATGATGTACATTTGAAAAAAAACATGTTCTGAACAATTTACGAATTCATGTTAACGTTCTTTTGCAATTAAATGTTCTACATTTTAATGGCCATGCTTTCATTTTTCTAAACTAGGCGAACATTTTTTGCACTATATAAGCACTTTTGAAAAAATTCACGGACATTTTTTGGACACACATGATTGTTTCTTGAAAATTAAGTAAATTTCTTTAATCTAGGTGAATCATTTTTTTACATTGTCATGATATATTTTTTGCAACGAGGGAATATTTCCCTAAAATTTCACATATATTTTTTAATGTTACGAAACATTTCTTTTAAGTTGTATGCCCATTTTTGAAAAACTAATTGCATTGATTTCATTGAAACATTGGAACTGTTTTTTTATTGGCGACATTTTTTTTGAAAGTTATCAACCTTTTATGAAAACTGTGCTAAAAAATATATTAGGGTAATTTTTTTAAAATTCCTGGTTTAAAATTTTCTTAAGTAAATTTAAGCTTGTGAACTATATACATTTCAAATATAAAAGAGAAAAAGAAAGAAATTCAGATGTCGTTAGCCCGACGAGTCATGTCTTACTGGGCCACCCCACCATCACGCCCTGTAGCGAGGCACCGGTGTGGCTCATAGTAAGCATCACATAGCCACGCCCGTAATTCGGGGCGTCGTTTCTTCTCGCCGTGCATGCCTTGCTCATCACGGCACACGCCCCCGATGGCCCCTGTGTTGAGGATCTTTTACACAGCCCCATCAACATTCACCTTCTTCATCGTCGGTCTAGGCAGTCGTGGATTCCACGGAGCCCTGGCATCGGGGCGTGTAAGAAGAGAGCAACTAGTTAACGAGCGCTCCTTCGGGAGCCTCACAACGATTAGCGTGACTTGGCGCGCTCTCAGCCATTTGCCATGTGTCGTATTCTGGACGTTTCTTCTAAATTTTGTTTTTTTTAAATTTTTCCGCACGCGTTTTCGGTTTTTTAAACGGTTTTTTCCGGGTTTTTTTTTGACGTTTTGGTTTTCCCCCCGGTCTTTCTTAGCTTTTCGATCAAAAAAATTACAAATTTTTGTTTTGCGCGAAAAACGCGGTTTTTTTCTTTCGCAAGAATCACGTTTTTTCTTCCGCGAGAGGCACGGTTATGCTTTAGCGAGAGTCACGGCCGTGCCTTTCGGAAACGAAAAAAAACGCATTTTCTGTTTTTTTTCTTTCGCGAGAGTCATGGTTTTGCTTCCGTGAGAGGTACGGTTGTGTTTTCGCGAGAGTCACGGCCGTGCATCTCAGAAAGAAAAAAAAAACGTTTTCTATTTTTTTCGCGAGAGTCACGGTTTTG